CATTTCTCTGAGAAGAATGCAGACTTTGGGACAAAAAGAAGAGGAACTCTCTGCTCAGTGTAAGGGAAAGTTAGGAGGCATGGTCCTCACGGGGTAAAAATTGGTTGTGCCCTTGTTTATTACAAGATACTTGGTGTCTGAAGTGCCTGGCTGGGGTTTGGGTCAAGGTTCTGTGTTGTCTAATGGATCAGAGCACTGGACTGGGACTCAGAAGACCTGAGCTCTCCACCCAGCTTATCTGCTGGGTGACCTTGCCCAGTTAATTCACCTCTGTTGCCTCAGTTTCCCCATCTGTAAAAAAGTGATGATGATAGTGACTTCCTTTGTAAAGTACTTTGAGATCTACTGATGAAAGCTGTATATAAGAGCTAGATATTATTATCATGATAATCATTGCATACATTTCAGGAGAGTGAGGTTCTACAATCTTGAGGTTGTTTATGTGAGAGACAGTGACCTCCACATCACCTTGTATTTGAAAAGATATTTAGAACGAATCATACACATTACCCCCAACTCAGGGGATTTCTGGGAGAAAATGAGGATGTAGAGTGATCTGTATACATGTCCATGTTGATGCACCCAAAGAATTGTACTTCTCTAACTGTGGGGGGCTGGCTCCATCCAGAAAAGATCTAAATTCCTGGCTTCTGAAGCAGGAGATTCAAGTCTCCTGCAAATTGAGCAAGTGGTATAATGGTTAACAAAAAAGGGAGTAAGCCATCAGAGACCTGATATTAAATCTCAGGCCTGCATTAACTGTTTAATGTTGTAAAAGGGTTTCTGTTACAGCATGGGCACTTACTCTCAGAGCTCCCCCTTGTCTCAATGCTGACATTAACCTGCATAACCTCTGGCAGCTTGGTGGGGAGCAACAGGGTCTGTCCCTGCCTCAGTTTCCTCTTACAGGCTATCACTAAGCTCAGTGAGGCTTGTATACAGCAAATGGTACCACTTCAAGGGTCTAGTTTTATTTAATCATTGGCCACAGAGATTTGCAAGCAGGGGTTCACCCCCACTGTCCTACCCAGGGTACGTGTGTTAAGCTTAGTCTATCTGCCTCCACCTGAGTCCATCCAGCTCCTCTGTCCACGCTCATCACCGGTAAGGCCCTTTCAATTGAGAACCCTCTTCTAGAAGCAAGCTCTTGCCATCAGCTGGGAAAGAGTTCCTGGAATCAGGACCCATGCAGATGTCAAACAGCTATAGTCTCCTCTGAAGCAGCATGCAGAGCCTCAACCACCTGGACTGCTTGCCATCATCTACTAAGGGCCTTTCACTGGGACTGATCTTCCTAGGCCTTTGCACTCACAGAATTTGTTGCCTCCAGGAACACCTTTCCTAAGCCCTCTTTTTTCGTAAGATCTCTAATCACCTTCCCTGAAAAGCCCCTCTCCTCACAAGCTTCCTCTCTGTGTCCTAGAACCACCTAACTGAGCCCTCATTCATCTGTATTAGGCCCGGGCGTTTCTTAACTAATTTACTTCCACCCAGCCACTTAGGTAATTAACTACTCACAGGTGGATCTGGGTTGTCTCATTCGCCTTAGCAGAGCCTGTGCCAGGTAGGCTGGTTTGTAACTCCCTTGAATGGATCAGGCTCTAGGACAGTTTAATTAGCATCTCTTCTCCTGTTGACCCTGAACATGCTCTTTATCAACACAACAGTCCTTACACTTGTCTCATCAAGTTCAGCATTGTAGCCAACATTTGCATGGTAGCCGTGAGATGTATTCCTCTTTTAGGACTATTACTTCCCATCGCCAATCTCTCATGTGAATATTCAGGTGAGATGCTGAAAGAGAAGTAATCCCCTCGCAAGGGAGATTGTGGTTTTATTGCTGATGTTTTCTTAAGGTTTGTCTCTCGGTTTTCAAGCTCAATTCTTTTGATTTGTCGCAAACTCATTGCCCTTCATCAGCTAGCAAGGGCGGTCAAGCTTGTCCTCCAAGGTACTGCTATCAGATGGGAAGGAGAAACCTCCTCACAGCAAAGGGGTGCTAGGGAGAAGGTCCATGGGAAGGGGCTTAAAGAGATTTGGTATTAAGAAAAATATCCAGACTATTTAATACTTGCACAGACTGAACCAAACTGTTGAACCTTTTTGAGATTTGCCCTTCCCAGTGTCTATCATTACACAGCATTACAGTACTGGGCAACATACCAGGCTATTCAGCAAATAATATAAACTCATGCTTCATTACTGAAACAAACAAATCAATAATAATAATTTTAAAAGATGTGATATTTATTTACATAGCAAGAATAATTTAAAATTGATCCCACCAGGGTTATCTGTTACCTTGGAGGCACCAAATAAGTTTGGGGTATATTACCATCTCTCTTCTTTATCTAAATAAATTATGACTTGTGAAATATTATTATTATTATTTTATTTATTGGCTGTAACCATTCCAATAAAATCCCTCCATCCCCCCTCCCCCCAATTGAGAGTGGATGGTCCATGGGATTGGTAAGGGGCAACAGAACATTTTCACCTCTAGGTTGCCCTTGCCAAGCTAGCTCATGTTTGTAGCGATGGAAAGTTTTTTCCGTCTGATGGCTGTTGGCGCACTCAGGGGCTTTTGCATCAGTGATCCCCATCCATATTGCCATGGTACCCCTGGAAATTGGCAGAGTGGAATACTACAGGGAGGTTAAGTGTTTTTGTTTTGTTTTTTTATTGTCTAGTGTGATCACTGCTGCACCATTAGGAGCCTTTTAGAATAGGGATGTGAAGTGTGTTACTATTGGGACCACGCATGCCACCTTTCTCATGTGTAGAAAAGGGCTCGGCAAGAGTGGCCTCTCTGTAAGCACCCCAGGCCACATCCTCCTAATTGGTGTTTGCATCACAGGGCAATGTGCACTGCTTTGAGTTTCCATTTCCATGCATGTCAACCACAGAATGGGCAAGTCACTATGCTCTCTGGCTATTAAAGCTGGAAGTGCTTACATATCCTTATTAGGCTCCCTTATAACTGAGATGAGAGCCATCATATATATATATATACACAGACCTGCTGAGTTTCTCCATGACACAAGAAAGTAAGGCTGAGTTTGAAAAAAAGACATTGCTACCTTTTTCACACGTTGATAAAACAAGAGGTGCCATATCCATTGGTTTTCCCTCCCCTGCCCAGGAACGGTTCACAGCCCCTGCCATTCTTTCAGAACTGGTTGTTCATTTATTCTAATAAATAACAAAAGGGGAACTTTCCAAATTAGCTGAATTTTTTAGGGATGGGAACATGTGTGCAAATGTGCGTTTGTCAGAAAAAGGGAGTGTGCTTTGGGGGAATTTGATTCACCATTGAGATTTCCCAAATTGCCCCATTCACACACATACCCTCTTCCATAGCTGGGGTGACCTAGGCTGCGGACTCCACTTATGAAGGGAGAGGAAAAAAAGAAAGAACAAGAAAATAGAGAAATGGAAGAGAAGAATGCTTCCAACTAATTGCATTGTACTGTGAGAACAGAGGAAAAGACTGAGTTTTTCCAGTTACACTAATCCAAACCTCATTAAACATAACCCCTTAAAAGACACAGATTGAAGGCAATGGCTCTCCAGAGACAAGTACCTTACCTGCTGTGCTCAGGATAAGGATAAAGAAAATAGATTCTGCCTTGGTCTATAGAAATCCTTCTCAGGGCCTACTACCATCTCTGACCCCACAGGGTTAAAGGGTGTTATGCCTTTCATATGCCAACCTCTCCCTTCCAGAGATTTGTCTCCAAGGGAAAGATATTCATTGAATTAATGTGATGCTATTAAACAGGGCTTTTGATCCTAATGGATACAACACTCCTTTATTATATGAGTCAAGCACTGGAGCCAATCATGAATGAATAAACATAAAGTATTTCTTTAAGGAAAGAAACATGAATGGCATTGCTGGTATAATTTATTCAGATTCACTTGACTACAATCATTCAATTTCTACAGCTAGGTCCTGTTGACACAGACTTTACATATAGGAATGTCCCTATGCACTGATTTGAGACCTAGCAAAGTGGATTGTCCAGAAACAACTACTGTTTGTCCCTAGTTTAGAAGCTAAAGGGGTGTAGGAATTGTGTTTTCAGATCATTTTAATTACAGAGATTCACACACCACACACACTTTCACATCTGCCATTCTTTCTTTTTTCAGATTAATGGATGATTTCTAATTTATTTTACAGAAACAATACCCCCCCCTTTTTTTAACCTAGAGTATGATTTGTTTCTTTGTAATTTAGAATTAAACAATAGCCAGTAATTATGCTTTAATATTTTTATATACCCATTGGTCATCAGGCTAAGGTATGCATCCCTTTCCTATTTTACAAGAACTAGAATCTGGGTTTTGTACCAAGAGTAGATAATTTGTGGGGGATAATACCACAAAACACATATTATTACCTTATGGGAAGTAAACGGCCCCTCACAGAACTTTAGTCTAGATGGTGTGGAAAGATCCCCTAAGTTAAGTCAGTACTATTTCCTAGTATTCAAGGGTTATAGACCTTGGTAAGCAAAGCTGAAATCTAGTTTGTGGGAGTTTGTGCTACCTCTGTCTCTTTTAAATCAGTTTATAATGAGAACATTGATACAAATCACTCACTTTCTTATATGATTTGGAGAAGACTGTCTAAAGATTAGTACTGCATTCTTTTTCTGATCTTATTCCTAAAAGAACATTTTTAATTTACAAAGAAAAACAAAACTTTCTCTCTTCAGAGGTACATCAAGCTCCAGGATGCAAGATTTATTGGGTCTTCTTTATCACAGTATTATTATTTTCAACAGAAAATACTGACAGATAAAAATGTTCTATATCACCTTCTCATGACTGTAAAATGGGGTGATTCTGTGGCAGATATTGTGCAAAAAATACATTTTATTTTCTCCGAAGAAACACAAACTGAGCGGGGAAAAGAGCTCTGTCTGCCTTACAGCTGGGCGGGTTCTTAAACTCACCAATCAGAGACGAGCTCGTCTCTATAAATACAAGCCATCTACTGTAGTGAGGCGTGTGTAGAGCGTTTGTAAATCGACGGTGTGACCATGTCTGAAACCGCGCCCGCTGTTGCAGTGACAGCAGCTGCGGCTGCAGCTCCTCTTCCAGCTTCGAAAGCTCCAGCTAAAAAACCGAAGAAGGCGGCAGGAGGACTCAAAGCTCGCAAGGCCGCGGGTCCCAGCGTGACCGAGCTGATCACCAAGGCGGTGTCCGTTTCCAAGGAGCGCAAAGGGGTCTCGCTGGCCGCTCTTAAGAAGGTCCTGGCCGCCGGAGGGTACGATGTGGAGAAGAACAACAGCCGCATCAAGCTGGGGCTTAAGAGTCTGGTGAACAAGGGCATCTTAGTTCATACTAAGGGTGTCGGTGCCTCGGGCTCCTTTAAGCTCGGTAAAAAGTCGGGTGAGACCAAGGAAAAGGCGCCCAAGAAGAAGCCAGTGACAAAGCCTAAGAAACCAGCGGCCAAGAAACCCGCCAGCGCCGCCAAGAAACCCAAAAAGGCTGTGGCCGTGAAAAAGAGTCCGAAAAAAGCGAAGAAACCAGCTGCAGCAGCCAAGAAAACGGTCAAGAGCCCGAAAAAGGTGAAAGCTGCCGCCAAGCCTAAGAAGGCAGCCAAGAGCCCGGCTAAGGCCAAAGCTGTGAAGCCCAAGGCGGCCAAGCCCAAGCCGACGAAACCCAAAACAGTGAAGGCTAAGAGGGGCGCGCCTAAGAAGAAGTGAAATGGCGTGAGATCTTTACCATAAAAAACCCAACGGCTCTTTTAAGAGCCACCCATTCTTTCCCAAAAGGAGCTGAAACTCTAGATTCACTTACGTCATGGTGCCTTTTCAGTGAAAGGCAGCTATTCCCATTTCGCTTAGCCACATGAGAATCACAGTAAAGAAAAGGCAAATAGAATACGTTTGTGCATCATTCAGAAGGAACATGAAAGAGCCTCTGGAGATAGTCTTTCTTTCTACTGTGTACCTTTCTTACTGTAATTTTACCACTCCTGCTAGAAATCAACCGGGGGGGCGTATTTCAAATCTATTGGCAGGAGTTTGTTTATGGAAAGATATTTACGATCATTACTCCTGTGTCAGCTTCAGTCTCTGTCGGAGGGGGAGGGATAGAGAACAGGGTGTGATCGGAAACGGCGATTTAGAAACAAAAGTTCATTTTCTGCCCTCTTTGAGAGTGGATTTAAACCAGTTGTAGTTTAAAAATCCCACTCTGTGCAAGGATTGGCCAGTAACAACTATTTTTTTCTTAAGGGGGATTCAGTGTCATATAGACTCTCCGCGCATTCGGGGTGGGCGATCTTGAGAAAACGACAAATTATCTCCCAGGGATTTTTATTTGGTTTCCAGTCAGATTAATCGGCTGTTTTATATATATTGTTTCGTTCGTAACTGCAAAAATAACCTGGAAAGGAAGATGTGTGTATAATTTATCATTTTGTTAATTTAATACAACTCTCTCGTAAATACCCTAATGCACTTTCTAAAGGGTGCCGTTAATGATTGTTGCGAAAGAACATAAAGGGATGGATACGTTATTTTGCATTAGCATATTTTCACTACACTCAGAGAAGGGACACAAGAAGCGAGACCCGTTCTTAAACCTCACTTTACTTCCTTAATTTCCCTTGCCGGACATCGTTGTGCTCTAACACACAACTTAATAAAAGAACAGCGAAGAAATGACACTCTCTGGCTCACGGTCCTACCACTTCTCTTTAGAGAGTTAAATGATTTATGATAGGTTGAAAAGTTATTGCCTGAACAGCCAATGGTAATGCGTATCTAACTCTGACCAATAGACAGGTAAAATGTGCCGGAGGGGACGGCTCCTGATTCTCAGATCCAATAAGAAAGAGGAAAGGGAAACACCTAATTTGCATAAGGCTTCTATAAATTGAGGGGCGGCCGCCATTTTTTCTATACTTGCTGTTTTTTCGTGTACAGGAATAGCAGATTAGTGTTTGTCGAGTTTCTTAAGACAGAGTACTTTTTGTTAAGATGCCGGAGCCAGCAAAATCTGCTCCCGCTCCCAAGAAGGGCTCTAAAAAAGCTGTGACCAAGACTCAGAAGAAGGGTGATAAAAAGCGTAGAAAGACTAGGAAGGAGAGTTATTCCATCTACGTGTACAAAGTGTTGAAGCAAGTTCACCCGGACACCGGTATTTCCTCTAAGGCGATGGGGATCATGAACTCTTTTGTAAACGACATCTTCGAGCGCATTGCGGGGGAAGCGTCTCGCCTGGCTCATTACAACAAGCGTTCAACCATCACTTCCAGGGAGATCCAGACCGCTGTGCGCCTGCTTCTGCCGGGGGAACTGGCCAAACACGCCGTGTCTGAGGGCACCAAGGCCGTCACCAAGTACACCAGCTCCAAGTAAATGGTTTGTTGTGAGATTACCTACACTTTTAACCCAAAGGCTCTTTTAAGAGCCATCCACTTTCTCACCCAAAGAGCTCTGATATCACTAATTGCTGTTGCTTGTGTTTTTCAAGCTCTAACAAAGCTTATTTTAAAAATATTAATGTGCTTTAGTCTCAGGTGACTTATGAAAGTTATTTTTTCATTGCATATGCTCACTATATCGTGGGGTGACTGATTTCGCTCTAGTAAATATGGCATTAAGTCAATTTAAACTATATCAGGTTTTAGAATGTTAATGCAAAATGTCGCTGTCTCTCGTTCTTCTCTTTTCTGCCGCTCCCAACCAATAGTTCGGTGAGGTGTCACCCCCAAGAAATATAAAATATGGCTAAACTGTTTGGTCCGGTAAATAAAAATTGAAATTTGATCAGATTAAACTGTTAAATTCTCTATTTAACTGAATTTGACTAAAAAAGTTTTGGCTCCATTAATATTATTCTTATCTGCTTATTCAAAATGTATCAATCATATCTGCCTGAAGGATAGTTGGTTGCCTCATGGTTTCTCTAATTCTTTAAGTTCCTGAAGGTAAAACTCGATGCTTCCCCTCTCCCTCTCTAGTTTATCTGAATAATCTTGCTATTTGGGACTGTTAATAGAAGAACATTAATAAATATTTAAAAGATAACAAGTGTTCAAAGGTATGGGGGTGGCTTTTAAAAGAGCCTTTGGGTCGTTTGGAAGTTGCAGAAGATGGCTGAGCTGAGCAGCCTGTAAACCTCTCACCACGGATGCGCCGGCGTAACTGGATGTCCTTGGGCAGGATGGTGACTCTTGGCGTGAATAGCACACAAGTTAAAAGAAAAGGAGTACTTGTGGCATCTTAGAGACCAACCAATTTATTTGAGCATAAGCTTTCGTGAGCTACAGCTCACTTCATCGGATGCATGCAGTGGAAAATACAGTTAAAGTTAATACCTTCAAAGAGCCCCACCAAGTAGGCTTCGCTGGCCTCCTATCGGGCCATAACGGCCGAGCTCTGGAAGCACAGGTCGAAAGCGGTCGCCACAAGCTGGCTGGTTCCCTAAAATTCAGGCACCCGGAACCACCCCAGTGCCGCGTTCGTCTGCTGCCCCCGCCCCCGCCACTCGGTCTACAAAACCGCCTTCCCTTTTCTGCCACCTCGGTGCATATTTATTTCTTCTATTATATCAGAGGCTCCGTGTCTCGCTATTTTTCTTTCAAAACGACCAGTTCATTAAACAATGTCATTCCTGCTCTCTCTCTTACAGCTGAACACCCATCACTCACATCAATCCCCAGAGCTAAGGGGCGGGGATAATAGTTAACCCACAGAATGGGATGAAACGTCTCTCGATCCTCGTATTTCGTGTTTTAATTTGCGGTTATTTAGAGGTTGGCACAACTACCCTTCAGTAATTCTCTCCTCTGTGACTATGGGGTACTGCACCCTCCTGAGGGATCTCTTTAATTTCCTTCAGTCCTGCCTTAAACAGATGAAAGACTGGAGGAGTTTTTAAATAGTTATTTGCAAAAGTGAAATGATTGAATTTCTCTGTCTACAGTTTCATCCTGATACATCTTCAAGCAAAAGAATCTAGCTGGTTTAATACGCGGCGTTAAGGAGAATAGGACACAGGAATGCCGCTTTCTTTGTCTCCCACCTTCCTTCCCTCCTCTGAAAAAGATCACATTTGTGTTTCGTTTCCAATTAGATTAGCTTGAATTTTACAAAGGAATTGTTCAAACCTTGTTTATCATTCACATACCGCACCCCAAAGTAACCCATTGGCGGCTTGTTTACAGGTTACTTTTAGCCAGACTGAGAATAAAGGTTTCCACGTGATAAATCTGGTTAAAAGTAAACTAAGGAATCCTTTGACTACCCCCAGCTCCCTACAGAAGTCGATGTAGTTGAGTATTTTTAAAGAGGAAATATCACTGTTTTTCGAATTGCAAAGGGTTTTCATATGAAATATTTCTAGAGTTTGTCAAATGATCACCCCAAAGTGGGAAAGGGACTTGAAGCTAAAGCTTTAAATAGCAACTTTGTATTTGGCTCGGGTTTTCTTTAGAAGTTAATAGGGAATAAGTGCATTTACTGAAAAGACAGAACACTACTCCTATTAAATTAAAAAGCAGTTTACCTACAGTGGTGTACCACCGCGGAACAACACTTACGTTATAAAAAGAAAAAGAATACTTGTGGCATCTTAGAGACTTACTTATAGGTGTGCTACAACTCCTTCAAGTGTAACTTTAGTGGCTCTTAAAAGAGCCTTTGGGTCATTTGGAAGAGGGCTGAGTAGCCTTTAAGCTCTCTCGCCGCGGATACGCCGGGCTAACTGGATGTCCTTAGGCATGATGGTGACTCTCTTGGCGTGAATAGCACACAGGTTGGTGTCCTCAAAGAGCCCCACCAAGTAGGCTTCGCTGGCCTCCTGCAGGGCCATAACGGCCGAGCTCTGGAAGCGCAAGTCGGTCTTGAAGTCCTGGGCGATTTCACGCACCAGGCGCTGGAAGGGCAGTTTGCGGATGAGCAGCTCAGTGGATTTCTGGTAGCGGCGGATCTCTCGCAGGGCCACGGTGCCGGGTCGGTAACGATGAGGCTTCTTCACTCCCCCAGTTGCAGGCGCGCTCTTCCGGGCAGCTTTAGTGGCCAGCTGCTTACGGGGGGCTTTGCCACCGGTGGATTTACGGGCGGTCTGCTTGGTCCTGGCCATTGCAAGAAACACAAAGCGCTATTTCTTCTGAAAGAAAACGGAAGAAGAGAAGCGTTTGTTGTGGCACTAGCTGTATTTATAGGCAAACTCTCTTTCTTGATTGGCTGATGGTTACGAGCCATATGTCATTGGGTAATTTGAAAATTTGAAAAGCCCGCTCTGTACTCTTGAAATAGGACCCTTCCCGCCTCACCACTCTCCCAAAGCTTACGGCTTTCCCAATGTGGCTGCACCACAGCTCATTTCCCTGAAATCCGCGATTCCTGGACAGCCCAGCACCGAACATTTGTGCGGTTTCCTCTCTCGGAAACAGACTCCACCTTTCCTTCGCTACTACCTCAGTTTCTTGTTCTTTTATATCGGAGGCTCCACGTCTCACGACTTCTCTTTCAAAATAGCCAGTTTATGAATGTCATTCCCGTTCCTTATTTCTCTTACAGTCGAACACCCATCTCTGGAGACAGAGAAGGGTAATAACTAAACCCTAGTTTATTTATTGTTTTATTGAAACACAATAAAATCCCCCCGTTTTCATTGTGTTTCATGTTTCAGTTTGTGGTTATTTGGAGGGTTGGATGATCCTTCAATTCTAACCCCGCTTTGAGACTGAGACCTTTAGTCCTTTCGTCCTCCCTGAAACCTTAATTAAACACGCGAGACCGAATTTTTAAACAGTATTCACTTGCGTTGCAATACTTACCTAGTAAAAGGATTAAGTTTCTATTTTACAGTCTAATCTGTTTCTGTTCACAATAATCTACTTGGTTTAATAAATGTCAGAGTAGCAGTCCTATTAGTCTGTATCCGCAAAAAGAAAAGGAGGACTTGTGGCACCTTAGAGACTAACAAATCAGTGGAAAAAATGGACACAAATCATTAGATACTCGCCCTCCCCCCCCCCCCCCCCAACAATTTTATACTAAAGGAGTATTCAAACTCCCACCTCCGACCGGCAGGGGTAGAGATTGTTTAAGTAGGTTATGAATAGTCCCTAGGAGGACATACAGGGGAGGGTTATCACTAACTTATCTGTTAACAGAGTGGACTTTTCAAACTAATAAGTGTGTCAAATCAGGGGCCCACTAGCCAGATAGAAAAGGTATTTTGGTCTCTAACTCATCCCCAGTCTCTCCATTTCCCTTACTCACGGGTTCCCCCTGCCCCCCTTTGGAGGCAGAAGCTGCTGTGAGAGGAATAGTTTTAACTAAGCTTTCTAGCCTGGACCGGAAAGTCCTCGGGTATCCCTTCCTAGGAGATATAGCTTGCTGTCCCTCTGCGGCTGCTGCAAGCCGGCTGCCCAAACAGTAGCTCTGAGAGCACCAAGGCCATCTCCCTGAAAAGGCTCTTTTTCTCTAGACAGTATTCAGAACCACCTACCCCTTATTAAAATCACTTTAATACTTTTATTTAAATCTATTCTCTGAATATGGTACAAATTAAAAATTAAGTACCACATACAACAGGAAAGAACTGAGTTAGACTTTTTGTGAGTTTTCTCCTGAGACCTCTTATAGGTATCAGCTAGCATTCAATTTTTGTTTCAGATTATATATATATATATATATATATACATACATATATGGAACTAGAGAGCAGACAGCTGGTTTCATACAATGTTTCTCATAGATCAATGGCTGTGAACAGATTGCTGGTAAAGATTAAGAAATTGGGAATTATCACATAATAATAAACGATTTGATGTGTAAGGTAAAAGTCTTTCCCCACACCTTGGAAGGAAGTTACTAAAAGTAACAGTTCTTATTGTGAAAGTCTAGGGAGGCTTTGAAAAGCGCCTTTGTATTGTTGATGTTTTGGTCTGACTGGGAGAAGGAAAAAGTAAAGCATGCTTAATGAAGATAACAGATCAGAATCTTCAAGTTTCTTCAGCATTCTCTTCGAGATACGTTTTATACCCCTACAAGCGATCCAAGCTTTGAAATACCGTGGACATTATGGAGAAGCACTTTCTGATAGCCCTCCCCCTACCGTTTACCGAGTGCAGTTTAGATTATAGTTTGTGCAATGAAACATCACCTGAGGCTGAGATCCGTGGGGACGACCTGATTGAAAACTGTCAAGAAAAACACGGGCGGGGTCTATTCTCTGTTATCCTCCCCCACTAGCCTCTGTCTTCGTGATGCTTGAGTTAGAAGAAAAGCGGCGGCTTATTAGCCCGGCCCTTGCGCTTGCCATTGTCTGAGCATTATTCCATTTAGACTCCGCAATATATATATATAATCATTTTTTCAAACTTTGGCAAATTATCAAATCCTACCTCTACTAATTATTAATTCAAATGAATCCCTGATTTTCTGGCAATACCTGGCGTCTCTGTTAATTGTTTAAATAAGAGCAGCTGTCAAATGGCATTTTTCATTTGCCATTACCTTATTTTGCCTTGTGGAGGATCTTCTGGTAAAACTGCTTCACTTTTGTGCCTATTTTGGTTTCAAACTGCTCCTTTGGTTTTTATGGATTTGCAGTCTGCAGTAAAATCTGACCAATCAGGTTTCGGGACACATCACCTTTCTTCAGCTCCCCAGCATTCGTCGCCATTTCCCCAAGTGTGCGAAGGGAGAACTAATGTGATCAGTGCATTTACTGTATTTCATCCAAAGATAGAGCAGGGCCCTCTTGTATTATCGGATACCGTATTATTTTCTTTCGTTCATTACGTCCGTATGTTCCTTTCCCAATATTATTATTCCCTTTGCTGTACCGTACTGTAAGTAGTCTGACTACTGATTGAATGGCTGTACAAATAATCAAGCAGAAACCCAGAGTCCTTTTCCAGGACAGATAGAGGAATTCATTTCTATAACTGATAAATAGAATTATTTTGTGTGGGAAAGGCTTGGAAATTGCTTTAAAAATAACTTTTTTGCTGTCACCTGTGTATATCAAATTGTAATACACCTTAATGCTAACTCTGCTACTAAAACACAATTTAACTATGTGTCTGCTGATCTTTAGAAAGCATGGATTAAAATGATCACTAAGGGTTCTAGGACACTGAAGAAAATAAAACACTCCTTTTCAAGCTTCAGAATTTTAAAATACTGTTACATTGCTGTATTTACTATTAACAACAAAAACATACAATAGCAATACAATAATAAATATTCTTTCTTCATCTCTGTAGCTTTTACATTAAGATTACTTGTATTTTGAATAACAGATTATTTCCTCCCCCCCCACGGAGCAAAAAGCTAGAACTTTCTGATAGAAACTCAACTTTCCCCATAATACAAGGTACTGGACAGATAGCAAGTGACAAGTCCAGCTGTAAATATGTCTAAAATATGACATGTCTCTTAATATAATAAATGAAAACAGTATGTTACACACTGCCAAAATACAATCTTGATATAACATTTGAACTGAACAAGAAAAAAAAAAAGCCTATTGGAAATATTTTTATTTGTTACACACTCTTCGGACCTTCCTCTGAACACAATTATTCATTTCTCACAGGCTTTCATCACCATAGTATCATAATGCTCACCAAATATTAATTAATCTTAGAGAATTCCCCTGTGAGTTGAGGTGACATGATTAATCCAATTTCTCTGATGAGGAGCCAAATAACACGGAGATTAAAGAAAAAACATCCATGGATTTTGGGTGTCTGATTCCAGATGGCTAGGGCCTGATTTTTCAGAGTACTTAGCATAATATATACAACCAGAACTTCCATTTTGCTCAGATGCAGCTATGAGCTCTCATCACTTCTTCAAATCAGACAAAAGGGCTCAAGTAAGGCATAGAAAAAATAAGGAACACACAATTCATGACCACCGCTAAAAAGTGTGGTTTAAGTGACTTGCTCTGCATCACATAGGAACTCTATGAGAGAGGCCAGGATAGAATCCAGTTCTCCAGGGCAGCATTCAACTGTCATAACCATGAGGGCTTCGCTTCTCTTCCTGTAATCCCATGCCTTATTGACTACACACCTTCACATGATGCAGTTCACTGACTACCCTGACCCCTGTTCGCCAGAGACCATGGCACACCTCTACTTAGGGTGTGTCAGGTTGCAGCCCTCTTCCAGCTCCTCCAGAACCTCTTACTGAGATTTTGGCTGCACTTTTCTCCACACCTCCCGATTCTGGCACACCTCATCCGTGGCCCTGCAAAGTCATGGGACCTCCTTACCAACCTTCTCCTGGTGCTGGCCAAGATGGCCATGCATCATACCAAGAGGAGGAAGCTGCATGGGGGAGGAAGGGGTGCTCTGCGACTGGGGAGGCCTATGTCCGTTCCCTTGTCTACTCATGATGCTGGACAGAGTTTCTCTGGGCCATGTCTGTTGAGTTGAGGTTTACTGCGGGACGCTCATTAGGACCATCTCATCACAATTGCTTCCAGCACTGGACAATACAGTTTCAACCACCTTTTGTTACACAAACTTATTTAGAACTTTTTGGTAGCTTTTCTTATACATTGGTATTAGTCTCTCTTATCCATGTTATCCTCCCCCACTCTGAACTCTAGGGTACAGATGTGGGGACCTGCATGAAAAACCTCCTAAGCTTATCTTTACCAGCTTAGGTCAAAACTTCCCCAAGGTACAAAATATTCCACCCATTGTCCTTGGACTGGCCGCTACCACCACCAAACTAATACTGGTTACTGGGGAAGAGCTGTTTGGACGTGTCTTTCCCCCCAAAATACTTCCCAAAACCTTGCACCCCACTTCTTGGACAAGGTTTGGTAAAAAGCCTCACCAATTTGCCTAGGTGACTACAGACCCAGACCCTTGGATCTTAAGAACAATGAACAATCCTCCCAACACTTGCACCCCCCCTTTCCTGGGAAATGTTGGATAAAAAGCCTCACCAATTTGCATAGGTGACCACAGACCCAAATCCTTGGATCTGAGAACAATGAAAAAGCATTCAGTTTTCTTACAAGAAGACTTTTAATAAAAATAGAAGTAAATAGAAATAAAGAAATCCCCCCTGTAAAATCAGGATGGTAGATATCTTGCAGGGTAATTAGATTCAAAAACATAGAGAA